CTCCTGAACGGACAAATTCAAGAGATAACAAAATAGGAGTGTGAGTTCCTGAATGGGGCAATGTGAGAAATGAGTGAAAAAGATGTGATGCATACAGTTTTGAGGAGGCTGCATTTGATTCAGAATAAGAGAGGAAGATATGATGGTCCTAGCTGTAAGTGCCTTCAATGCAGACCGCTTTCTTGTAGATTGCTCGGTTCTCATCCCCATCAGCTCGTGCCTCTCCTTTTCACACTCTTTGCAGGTTCGTATTATTTCCCGCAAGGCATCTGAGACTGCCTGGCTATCTCACTTAGTTGTGTCCTGCCAATCCTAGGTTTGCACTACAGTTCTCCAAGGATCACTGTGAAACTCTCTTACCAGTTCCAACCATTCCTCCAGGTATGCTTGTCCTTTTGGCAACAACAGGTCACCATATTTTTGGCTGTTTGGCTTTACCCACAGGCAAGAAAACAGAAGTGTTTAGTGTTCCTGCCCCAGCTTGACAGAAGGGTTCCTCTCCACTACTTGTGGGTTGCCATTGCTCTCCTCTCAGTTCGAGCCAGGACTAGTACAGTAAGCTGTGTCTGCTTGCTTCCAGGATTTCAAAATCTTGGATTCAGTTTCTAAAACAAGGACTAGCCCTAGGTGCGGAGGGGGAGACAGATAAGCAAGGCTGCTTAACGGTGTTGGGAAATTGTCTTTGCTTGCTTCTAGGATAACAGGTTCCCTGATGGTTAGGAGGATGGCTGAGGGAGAGGAGGGAGGGAGGGAGGATGCAGCTACGGTTGATCAGTCTGCTTATGACACCCTCTGAGAAACCGTCATCTTGGATAACCTGCCGTTGGCCCATGTTTAGCCAGGAGAGCCGAAGTACACTTCAAGCCAAAGAAACTCTAGCCAAGTATACCTTGATGGTCCTGATGTTCATGGTTCCTCTTGCACTCTAAACTTCTGAACAGCCTGTCAAGAAACTTGTTCTCCCAGTAAACACTATAGGGATGTAGCTTCATATTTCCAAGTTAACGATCAGCGTTAGCATCCTCAGTGCCTTATTAGAGGTTCAGTTCCCTGGGCTGAGGAAGACAACACAGCACAAGCTGTGCACAGTTTACTTTTTTTGTGATACTCTGGCTTTGCGTCTGTGCGTCTATTCACTTTTCAGTAATTGCTGCTGTTCAGTTTGGCACTGCCTGACACAAGAGAAAGAGCAGAAACGTGGGAAAGGAGAGGCAGGATCCATAACAAGTCAGGACTGTGCGGCACGGCTAGACAAAGACGGCCGGCCTGCGGCCGCTCAGGAAGCAGGACGTTGTGTTCCAGGGCCGGCCCTACAATGGGAGCAGGCAGACTTAGCCTCCCTGCATCTTACAAGGAGATGCGGCTTTGCACACCAACAATGCCTGGAAGTGCAGGGCTGCCAACTGGCAATGCACCCGCGACTTGGCAGAATAACGTAGGCCTGACACCCAATGCCGGAAAAAAAGTTCGGATGAAAACAAATAACATCCCTACAGCCATGAAAGGAGGCTTGAAAGCCCTGTGAGGACAGAAAAGAGTGATGAGAACAGCCAAGGTTGTTTCCATATGTGGGCCACATCAGACCCTGTCTGAGGCAGCCAAACCGCTGTGCCCTGGGAATCTTCTCGGGGCACTTGTGACGCGAGGAGGTACTGGCTTCCCCCCAGCCTCCCTTCCTCACTGTAACTGCAGCATCAACCTCGTTTTCTGCCTTGGAAGAGGTAAGCCACCCCTGGAAATATCGCAGGGCAAGATCATCTTCCCTGTGTAATCCCCACTGCACTACGGCACATCACTGCCCCGCCAGAGGGATTTGGTTCCGTCTTTCCGTAGGGGAGCGAGACGCCCCAGCTCCTCAGCGGCGCACAGGTAGCCGTGGCTGGCTGATCATGACAGGCCGCTGACGTTTTCCTTTCTAATTTCATTCCAGAGCTTGCAAACGCACGTTTTGACGGGCACTTTAACTGCACAGGAGGCCTCTGAGTCATGAGGTCCTGAACAAGCTTCAGATCCTTAGCAAGGCTTCGACCTCTCGGTGAGAGACGGGACGGTGCGCTCCCCCGCGCGGCGGGGCGAC